GGGACCCCCCCGCTGCCGCCGCTGACTCTATTACAATAGAAATTATTACAATATCCTAGGGAGGGATGAGGGGAAGAGAGGTTACACAGGAGCATGTCTTCTCAACCTGTGATGGACATTTTATTCTTGCCATGGCTACCTGTTTTATGAGGTCTATCAAATGCAATATTGCTTTCTCCTTCATCACCTCATGAATTTTAGGAAAACAGGCCTGAGACCTCTACCACTGTTCCAAGTCATCAACAGGCAACAAATGACTGATAGTTTTTAGTCTACAGGGCTCCAGCCAGCAGGACTGCCAGGCTAGCCCAGACAGATTCACGATCCTAACTGATAATTTGGTCTCTTAGAACTCAAGCGACACCAACTGCAGAATACAGAGAACATTTGCCTAGCTTTAATGAACAGCTTCAATGTTTTCTCTTCCTGGACATAAACCAACACTGTCAATACTGGATATGAGGCAGCAGCACCAGTAACCCAATTGCCTGCATCATGACACGTTTACCAACATGAAACAGTCTTTTTCCCTCTAGCAAGGGAGTTTTTAGACAGAACACAGAAACTGTAAGAGAAAGAAGGAAAGAAGGGATGATAGTTGAGTGAAATTGATCTTACAGTAGAGGAAACCAGAGGACAGATTGTTTCTTTTTTTTTTTTTTTTTTTAACTACTGTTTTAACATTGCTCTTTAGTCTGTGTTTAGAAATCTGAGGTCTGATTTCAGGAAAAAAATGAGACAAGAAATACTGCTACATTCAGTGTAAAACTATGAAAACAAGGTTCTCATTTAAGTATGTTCTTGGACAAAGTTAGGTACCAATGGAAAAAAAAAAAAAACAACCAGCTAAACTGATCTTTATAGTTATTTGGGTTTTTTTTCCTCCAAAAGAATAGATTAAGATGACCACAGCTAAGGTTAACAGGCCAAGTTGTCCACAAGTCCCCTAGTTCTCATTCTTCAGTTATTCTATCATTTCCTTTAGCAGGAAAGAGTCCCATGCTTTTTAAAAGTGTGGACAAAAAAGTTTCAAGGCCAAAGGTAAGACGGAAAGAAACTCTCAACTTCAGTGTTCTGCCAGGAAAGAATGCCTTCTCATACTTAGTATCTGGTGTCAAAGAATCTTTCTGACCTATTTTTTTCTCTGAGAGCACCAACGTTTCAAGCATTCACCCAAAGTAACCATTTCGCTTTGAGGGTGGTGGTGGTGGTGGAGCAGCTTCAGGGAGACACAGCAGCAAGCAAAAAGCTCCTGTTTGGGTGTCCTGGCAGTTCTGGGTGCGGCTGAAGTTTTGCTTGGCCAAAAGATGGAAGTTGTCGTTTGATGAAAACTGCACCTCTTTGGCAGAAGCGAGGCACAGCAATCACTGCAGCCCCTCTGAAAAAAGCAGAGTGGAGACAGAGTGAAAACTGTGCTCAAGGAACGAAGATGTTTTTAATGCCTTACTCAGCTCCTGAATCCACGTAACAGAAAGAGGGGATTTAACTTGTCTCATAAAGCTCTCTAAAAAACCGTAATTGAGAACAAAAGAAGATGAAACCATATTGGCTGGATAAACAAGTGAGCCTTGACCTACTACTGCAACCTGCCTCATCTTCTGTTATGTTAAAAAGAAAAAAAGACGTCCCATTTTACTGCCTCTTATGGCATATAATACTATAATCTCTTAGTGAAAACAAAGACCTACTGACATTTCTAACAGATTCTAATTCCGGGCATTTCACGTGAGTAAAACCATCCTTTGGGAAACTAAGCTCCTTTGCAAGTTCATGAATTTCAAGGTAAAGCTGCAGCTAACATTTCCATCATTTGTAATGAGCAAAGGATACTGTCGTATCTTAAAGCAGTGTTTTTTCTTTTACAAGTAAGGTATTTCCTTACGTAGTTTTGCTTATTTGCAGGAGCATGCAGAGAAGAAAAGCTTCAAAATTATAAATTATCCTGATCACAAAAGCTCTGCGCCTTTTTGTATTGCAAACCAGCCATAAAAATCACTGATATTCCAAATAAGATACGCAAAAAGAAAACAAAGCCAGAGCAGTAAAATTTACTCTTGCAACGAAGCCAGTAAGAAACATGATATGAAGACATGCATTATGAGACAACTAGACTGAAAGCGTGAGCTATTGTAGAGAAATGGAATGGGACACTTACACAGTGGCTCTCTCTCAGGGGGTCCTGATGGTTACTATGTTCTTAAACCATCTAGACAGAATAGCAGGCTGGGCAGAAGGGAGCCACATACAATCCACCAGATGACAATGCTACACAGTGTAAACACCAGCATAGCTAGGAGCCATCTAAAAAGGGGGTTGGAGGGGGAGGAAAAGATGAACAAAAATTCAAAAGCAAAAGCTACTGGTGCATTTTAGCTTGTTTCAAGTTCTTCAAAAGCATATTGCTCTATAACCTTTGCCAAGCATTCTGTAACCTTCTATGGCTGTTAAGAATCCACGCAACCACAAATTGCCAAATGTAGTATCCGCATGTGGCTGCAATCAAAGCCAATCTTCTGAAATCCTCACTGAAGTCATCTATTCCAAAGAAAGCCCGTATGACTCTTTTGTAAACAAGGGCATGCTGGAGCAGTACATCTCTGACCCCTCGCTGCCATCTCTCACGCAGTTTGATTGGCTTTTATTCATACATCTGACTTCACAATCTTAGGTCTTCATACCAAAACATTAGATCAGATCTAAATCAGTTTGTAGGAACAAGCAATTTATGTAAACAACCACACGATGGGGTATATGATCTTCCTGTGTTCCAAGCAGCAAAAGCTAATGCATAATCCTTTGCCAAAGGTACAGCATATTGCTAATTAGCACATATACAAAGTATCCATTCGTCAAAGTATTTAGAGTTGATACAGAACAAACATTATTGTGCTGGGGCTAAACCGCAACAGTTACACACAAATCCCTTGTGACTCAAACATAAGGAAGGGCTCTAGCTCTCAAAGACTGTAATTGTCCCAGCTACTGGTGCTCCTATTTTTTTTGTTGTTGTTGTTTTTTCCTCTTCTCTGTGACATAAAAACCACACAGTTTTAGAAGCTTCTTTTTGTTCGCTTAGGTAAAATTAAATCAGTTTCACGCAAGATTAATTACTTTTAACAGTCTCAACTACAGGGAAAAAGACTGACACCTCTTCTAGTAGGGAAGACTTCTGACTCAGGTAGGGCAGCTAAATATTCCCAGTGATATTTTGGTTTAATAATAATAACACAAAGAATGTAAGAAGTTATATATTCATTTTCACTGAATTATTTCAGTACAAGCTGCAAACCACACAAATAACTCTGGGGAACAGAAGGAGTGAAATTCCAACTACCTGTGCCATAAGCTCTAGATCAATTATTTTAATTCTACAGAAGTACAAGCTAACCAGTTTTAATTACAGCAGTCATCTTGCAGAATGCCTCATGAATGGAATAATATTTTAATAGTTGACAGGCTTTCTGCATGCTAAGACAATGGCTCTGAACAGATTATCACGCAGTCTAAATTCATTCTATGGAATATGCAATAAATGACACCACCTTTACTACATGACTTAACGCACCTTCTATGAAAAAATATTACAGAGTGGAAATTAAGGCATTATGTGCCTTGGAAACTAATGTGCAAGGTAGCTGTTTTTTACTGTGGCATTTGAGGTAACTGAGCTGATGCGTTGTTTTAATGTCAGTTGCTTTGATCTGAATCTGCTGTTTCTTATATGATTGCCTGTGTAAATCACGGGCACGAACTAAAGAGAACCTTTTATAAAACAAAAGCACAATTCACACATAGTAATGTGTGAGCGTTTCCAAGGACATATTCCTCTACTTTCAGCACATTCTTACCTCTCATTTTTTCTAGAAGAATGACACTGTTTAGTCTCTAAAAAACAAACAAACAAACAAAAACCAACAGGCCAACAGCTAGCAGCATCATCCCCTACAGAAAAGACAGCCCAACAAAAGCCAAGCTGGCTTTTGTCTGTGACTCTGGTGCTGTTATTTGCAAAATCTAACAGCCAGGGGTTACCATTCCTTTCCTAACAATCTCATGAGACCCACATTTGTCTTGCAAGCCTTGCATTCTCTTGTAGTTTATTCAAGGGCAGACAGAGTTTTCCTACCTAGTTAGCACAAGCTGTAACAGATGCAAAGGTAACTAGGACCTTTCTTTTACAGGTGGTGTTTCAGTACTAGCATACCACGTTCCCTGACGTAAGTGCACTCCTTTTGAATTTATATGCTGCAATAGCACTACTTGCTGTCTACCAGATCTACCGGATGTTATCCCACGGCCCAAAGGATTTAGGAAAGTTCCTTTTCAAGGAAGAGGAAATGAACGGAAGCTAAAGATTCTTCTTTCAACTTTTCTTCTTAGGAAGCTGATGTCAAAAACCAGCATGTACCTTATTTCAGCCAATCAAACACCACCACACAGAGTAATATGCTTCCATTTTATACTACTGCAGGAAAGACAAGGGAATGTTTGTGATGAAACTAAAAATAAAGCATTCAGAACTATGGTAAGAGCTTGTAAAGCAGACTACTGGAATAAAAAACAGTGCAAAAAACTAGAAACAATGCAGTTCTTCCACCAAGTTATCCTGCCTCCTTAGCGCTCATCCAGCCTTCTGAGAAAGAGTGAATCTCACGCTTGTTTCGAATGAGTAAAGCAGCCTTGGCAACAAACTTCTGGGGGGCAAAGTGAAGTATGCATAGAGAACAGGATAGAAGCATTTCTGGCATTTATACATTCAGAAGCTGACTTACGTTAGCGTAGATGCAGTTGGAGATTTTGCCTGCCTTCTACTTTTCAGAGCACGAAGCTTATCACCTTGTGTTAGACAGTTTGTTTCTTCTTCATCACTGTACTGGATACGTCGAGGTGGGGAAGGGATAAACCAAGATTAAAATATAGACACTTAAACGTTTAAGAATTAACCTTATCTTAAAAGTTAGAATTATCCCATCAGGAAAGTTTGTCAGCATAAAATTAAAGGAAACTCACTTGCATAAATACAATTTTACAATACAATGTCCGTTAAGTAACAGACAATCCAAACCAAAATTAGTGGTTTCGACTGCAAATTGTTTTGTTCTAATACTTTCTGAAGTATGATAAGGATGGTCCTACTTCACCGGTATACTACACTTCATTTTTCATACCTGCTGTCTACAACCTTTCCACTCCCCCATACCCCTTGATACAAAAAGGACAAACAGAAAAAGAATCTGATTAACACAGTTTTACTGTACCCACAGGTTGTTTGCAACCTGAAGATTCTCAACAGTAGTTACAACTTTTACAAGAGCAGAATATTTGGATGGTTACCAGTTCAATGTCCTTTCGGATGGTTCTCCTGTTTCTCATGTCATGAATTGAAATATCATCTACTCCCGACAGAATTCTTGTTACAGCAATTTTACGGTTTCCTTTCAACTTTGCACGGGAAATATCTCCTTCTGTCCAGAGTTCTGCCTGTTTGCTATCATAACATGGGAAAAAAAATCCAGAATACACCAAATCAACACCCAAGGTTATTAAGTGTATAACAGAAGACATCTAGATCTATGTCTGAAATAATTTACAGTCAATCTACTTACTCCATCAGGAAGTGTTGTTGTGGTCCAATCACTGAACCAGGTCTATTTATTCTAATCCAGGCAATAGTTTCAGCAGCTGTCATCTGATAATGCTTCATGATATAACAGGCAATAAGTGTGCCAGTTCGTCCAAGACCAGCTGTGTAAGATAAAAGAATGGCTTCTTTTATATACCCATCTTCACCTGGAATCTGCTGTAGCTACAGACATTGTTAGTTGGACAGTTACTTGCCTAGTTTATTAAACAAACCTGCTACGGATCAAATTTGGTAAGTGCAACTCACTTTTCAAACTTTCTTTTCCACGTACAAGCTGACTAACAGATTGTTCACGTTTTTTGAGTGAGGTAACCTTCCAAAACCAGAAACTTTACAGATACCTGTAAGTCTATCCATCTTTACTTACCTGTCTATCTATGAATATGTATTACAGGTATGAAAATGTTTTTATGAAAGACAGCAGGCTTTTTTCCAAAATTCTCAAGGCACCTTCTTGCATATTAATCACCTATTGCACTGAAATCAGTTGCTTTTCCAATCCCTCCTCTAACTGATCTCTTAATAGAGCTCCCAAGGAAAAGACAGATTTTGTAACAAACAAGTCTGGGTACTAGCTGACAGAGGCAAAAGGTACTCCAGACAAGAAACCTTCTTTGCAATGGCCCTCAAAGCAGTTCTATTTACCCTGGGAAACACGAGAAGGAAAAGAGACTCCAGTTAGTGTCTCCTCTCCTCGATCACTTGCTGCAGATGTCAGACTGCAGCCAAGAGAAGCACACAGTGCTTTCCGTGCCCTGCCCAGCTGTAAGAACAGGCGACAGCGTTCTACTCTTCTAAGAGCAGGCTGAGGAACATAAGGCAGTCTAGACACCACCAGTATGATAAAGGTCAAAGAACACCTTAATCTGAATGAAAACAAAGCACTGGTACCACTGACACACAATATTCAGGCGTGATCAATTAAGCGATATGCCCAAATTCATCACCTCAGTGGAAAGTAAGAGTACGCACTTGCATCCCAACAGTCAAGATGATGCTTTTACCAATTCTTCCACTTCACAGGATAATCCTCTGAAACACACAGCAAATGGATGGCAGATCCAGGAACAAAAATACACTCTTTGCAGGCTCCAGGCAAATGGGTTAAGAAAAGGCCTTTCTCCTTCAATCACAGCAGTATTAGGTATGCTGGTCAGGCCAAGTTTGTGGAGAACAAATGTCTGATGGACTATTAAAGATAATGTGGGAAGGGAAACACAGTTCCTCTAGAGCCACAGAAAATGTTATCTTTATACTAGCAGTGCTGGACAGGCTCTGGATCTCTTTTCCTCGGCAGTCTGGCGGAACAGATATTAAGAGCATGCCCAGAGTAGCTAGTATAAAGGGTTTCTGAGGGATAAAGATTTCTGTGGTCCTGGAAGAACACTCACATTCTATAATGAATCTCCTCAAAAAGCTGTACTAAAATCTTCAAAAGTTTATGACTTGGTGTATTTAACCATGTATTTTCAGAAAGACCTGTAAACCTTGGCAGGACTTCAAATTTCTGCTCAAAAGCATCTTCTGAATGTGCTAACACTTTCTAGCAGAAAGAGCTGTTAATATTGGCAAGCCCACTTTCTCCAACCTCATTCTTTCCTGGAAACAGCTGGGAAGACTTTTCTGGAACTTAAAAAAATTAGAAGATGAAGTGCAAGAGCAGAAGCATAGAAAGAATCTGTATGGAAAAGCTGCAGTTTGGCAGAGATGTTAATAACTAGATATAACGGAATTTTAGTGCAAAATACCTCAGGAATTGTAACTATAAGCATCACTTGCAATACAGAATGTTGTTACACTATACCTTTGCAATGAACGGCCACAACACCTTCAGCATTTTCACAAATATTTAGGAAAGTTTTAACTATAGTATCACTAGGTGTGCTTCCATCAGCAAAGAAGAGGTCAAAATGCTCAAATCCAGCATCTGTAAATCGTTTGGCATCATACAGTTTTTTGTTGAGGCGTATTATCGTGGTGACCTTATGTTTCTGGAAGTATGGGAAATAAGCCTCTGGAGCATGGTGGGGATAGCCTATTTGAAAAAATAAGGTGGAAAAAGAAAGAGAGTAAGGCTCAAACTGCTGCAGAAATAAAAACTCAAAAACAAGAGATGAAAACACTTTCAAAATAGAACTCATGTTCAACATAAAGAAACAGACTAACTGAAAATGGAATTTTAACATAATCACCTAGGTCAGATACAATTAAACCAAGCATTAAAATTCTACTGCCAGGGTTCTTATAAAAGAAAAAGAGCCAAGGAAAAAACACACTGTTTGAGGAACAATTTTTAAAGCTTGTTCTTACTGATAACAATCAACTAAGAAAGCAGTGGGCTTGTGTCCCCCACCTCCTTTTTTAAGCATACCATTTTCAATTTTACTTCTTGAATGAGGTCCACTGAAGGCAATGAATTTGTTTGGTATTATCCAGTTAAAATCTCCATTTTCTGCTCTCTGTCAAGAGAAAATGCTTGGTTTATCATTATCCCTGTATTTTCAGGCTTTTCCTTATTGTTTCAAAATACATGCTAGATAGAAGTGATGTGCAACTTTTGCCAAAGGAAGTTACGTTAGTCGTCTGCTTTCTGTTCCATCGGGAGGATGCCGGAGGCTCTCAACCTCACTTTTCTTGCCTGTGTTCTCCTCTTTCTAAATTACGAGTTATAGAACACCACAAATGATGCCTTTCAGATGAAGGGCATCTTGCACTTTTGATTTTTTATAGGTTTCTAAATGATGACCTTGGCTTTATCCCTGTTTGCAATTTAAATCATGACTTTGTAGATTCTAGGAACACTTAATTTTCTCTTTACAGATAACTAGCAGCTTTGCATTTCTGAGACTGCATATAGTCAAGAGTTGCAGTCCTTCATTGTCACATTCATTTCGATACCCCAAAGTGCATTTTATAGGCTTGGTGTTTCCCAGCCCTTTTTCCTTCTTTCCTTCAGAGAGTGTTATTAAACCTTTGCCACGTGTTCACAGAAACATGCTTTAATTTTTCTCCAGAACACAGTTAGATCTGGACTTGTATGCCCTCAAGTTTCTCATCAAGATTGCTCAAGAATGTTCATGACTTCTAAGAGGTGGCCAAATTCCCACTCACCAGTCATCTTCCAGGGATTTAATAATAATGACAGAAAAAAAGTATTTACTTCTATTTTGGTTTATGGTTCCCTCCCAGGTTTGAGGCTAACTATGCTTAAATCTGAATTTTAATATTCTCTGTCTGACCATGTACCTTTATTTAACAATCAAACTTCAAAGTGACAAACCAGAAATGGAATCTAATGCTAAAAAAAAAAAGTAGCACATATTATAAGCAACCTTAGCATTAGCAACAGCAAACAAATCAGAAGACAGACGACTGATACTTGAACACTTACTTCATAATGCTCATATTCATTTACATCAAACGTATTGAAATCCAGGAAACCATGCTGCAAAGCCTAAAATTCAGAATACAGCTTTTAACAGAGATAACATCTTTTAGTGAGGACAGTTTATCACTCTTTTAGGTTGCTGAATGACCTTTAATACCTGTTCTACTTTTACAGAGAGATTTCTTTGTATCTTTGAAAAAAATACAGATCAACTCAGTCTTGGCTCAAAACAGATCTGTAAATTTTAATATAAGTGAACTTAAGACAAGCAAATCCACTCCTTCCTGTTTTCATCAAATCACTATGAAATTCCAGACTACAGATGCATTCAGTCTTTCTGTTACTGTTAGGAATACGAAACTAAAGAGGGAAAAATAACTAGCAAAATTTATCTCTTGAAATTATGAGTACATTGTGAAGTTAAGGATAGCAAATATTTTTGAGCATGGAATGCTATTTGCTCTCATTATGATGCTAATATCTTCACTGATTTTAAACTGGTTGTAGACAGACACACAGTTCTAAGCACACTAGCATGGTCTCAGATGTCACGTAATTATCCACAACAATTATTTTTAATACAAATGTAAACATTTGGGTAACTGACAGTTTACCCACTTCTTAAAGTTAGGAAGCACAGATAATCCCGTATCTCCAGATATTTAAATTTATACATTCTAATCTTCTCTTTCACTTCATAATCTTCCATAGTTTTCCTTGCTGTTCATTGATACTGAGAAGAATAGCAATTCACCACTCTTGGCATACAAGCAGCCAGTGCCAAAACATCCAAAAAAGCTGAAAATCATAAATCTGCAAGAAGCTGTCTTAATCAGTAAAAACACCAGTATTTGGCAGGGACACTCATAATACAAAAGACAGGAGTAGGATATTTAGCTGCAGAATTCCCCATTTCACTACTCATACAGACTAAAAAGAATGTACCTAAATTCCCCTGTCCTTCAATGACACGTTAGTTCACCACTGTATTGCTATGAAACACTAGATTATGGTAATTTGTAGATAAAACCAGAAAAGCATCCTAGCATTTGTCATATTTGTGTTACTGAAGCAAAACTTGAAGTCATTAGCACAAGTTGAAAATGCCTAAAAAGTATCACTAACCGATTCAAAAGAAGTTTCAGCGCCTATATTCAGCCTCAAATGTAACAGCGGGAGGGGAGAGAGGCATATAATAAACCTAGCACACAACTCTTAGGGATCAAAGGTGTGAATGACTGTCCCAAGAGGTTACACAAATAAAACTCAAAATTCCCTCTTTAAAACCTTCACTGGTTGCTAGCCCTAAGGCTTCTTTTTCTACAGATCAATATTGAGCTGACCTTTTCCAATACAAAAAACATTGGTTTACTGACCTTGTTTATTGCATGAAAACAGTCCAGCAATGTCAGATGAAAACTGCAAGTACCAAAGGAAGCATCCCTATAACATATGATGACCAAAGCGGTAAAATTATTCCATTTTAATCCAAGTGAAAGCAATTGAAGATATTTCTCTAAAACACCTTTTAAAATTGCTTCAAGATAATTACTATTACAGTGAAATAATTATGTCAAATGATTACTTCATTTCTCCCACCTTGTATCTTACACTAATACCAAAACACAAAGCAAGTTATTAATGTTAACAGATGATCCCGAGTAAGGCTACTCCAGTTACAGTTTTGATAAAACTTGAGACATTCCATTTCTGACAGGAACATTGAAAGTGGCATACCTCAAGAACAGACAACACAAACTCCTTGTGCAAAAGCTAATGCTTGAATTAGTGTCATATTCTAACATACAATCTCAGAACATTTTCTTCTGGAGTACACTTTCGAAAAAGTCAAATTGTAACACACCGCCATTTTTTTCTTAAACTCCACTCAAAAGAAACAAAGACGCTGTGCACATACCTTCTACGCACGCATGAACTGTGTCTTCTTAATAGAAGTGTCAAGATACACGTTTGTATATTAAAAGACTTTCCTTAAGATGCATTAAATAGTTTATGTTTAAACATGAGGAGAAACTGGTTTGCATTTAAACCCTTCCCTTCAACTACAATTTTCAAAATTCTGTTGACCCAAGAACCACATTAGTTCATGGCCATTATTAGATTCCACGTGCACTGTAAAAGAAGCACTCTACAGTAATACTAAAGTCAAGTAAAAAAATCAGTTTAAACTGAATCTACACCAAAGATTATGATGTCTGGGCAGAACACCTCCTTCTGAGACCATGCAGCCATCAGTAGCACAGAATCATTAATGTTTCAAAAAGTTAAAAAATAGTTAACGTTCAAATTTCCACTGAGAGGAGGCAAAACTTCTGAAGAACCTGGATGGTTGCCTCTACAATTCGTTTGCATCCTTTTCGGGATCAGTTTGCCTCAGTGTGAAAGGTGGGGGAAAAAAAAAAGTCATCAGGAGAAGGAAGTGACAGAGTCCCACCCAGGTAAAAGAGAGGACAGGTAAAGGTGACATTGGGTGTCTGTTAGGCCATCTGACCATGAAGAACAAGGGGATCAGGCCCTCTACACAGACAGGAGCAGCTTCACATTCCCAGGCCCTGGTCCTCACGAGGAACTTTAGCCACTCTGATATCGGTTGGAGGGACAACACGGCAGGACCTAAGCAAGCCAGGAGGTTCCTGCAGTGAACTGGTGACATCTTCCAAGTGATACAGAAACCAATGAGGAACAGTGGTCTGCTGGACCTCATACTCACCAGCAAGGAGGTGTTCGCTGTGGATGTGAAAGTCAAAGGCAGCCTTGGCTGCAGTGACTGAGATGGTGGACTTCAGGATCCTGAGGGCAGGGAGGAAGATGAAAAGCAAGCTGACAACCCTGGACTTCAGGAGAGCAGACCTTGGCCTCTTCAAAGAACTGCTTGGAAGAGTATCATGGGATAAGGCTCTAGGAGGAAGAGGGTCCCAGGAAGGATGGTTAATATTCAAAGTCACCCCCTTCAAGCTTAAGAGCAGTTCATCCCAATGAATATGAAGCAGGCAAAAATGCCAGGAGGCCTGAGTGGATGAATAAGGAACCCCTGGCCAAACTCAAACACAGAAAGCATACAGAAGGTGGAAGCAAAGACAGGCAACCTGGGAGGAATGCAGAGACACTGTCCGAGCATCCAGGAATGAAGTCAGTAAAGTAAAAGCCCAAATGGAATTGAGTCTGGCAGGGATGCCAAAGAAAACATGAAGGGCTTCTATGGGTACATAGGCAACAAGAAGAAGACTAGGGAAGATGTGGGCCCATTGCTTGATGGAACAGGGGACCTGGGTACACAGGACATGGAAAAGGCTGAGGTACTGAATGCTGCCTTTGTCTCAATCTCTACTAGAAAGACCAGCCTTCAGGAATCCCAGGTCCCAGAGACCAGGGGGAAAGGCTGGAGTAAGGAAGATGTACTCTTTAGGCAGAGGAGGATGAGGTCAGGGAATAGTTCTGCAAACCAGACACACCTAGGCCCATGGGCCCTGGTGACATGCACCCACAAGTGCTGAGAGAGCTGGCTGATGTCATCGCAAGGCCATCTCAATAATCTCTGAATGATCACGGCAACTGGGAGAAGTGCTGGAGACTGAAGGAAAGCAAATGTCACCCTCAACTTCAATAAGGGCAAGAAGGAATCCCGAGGGAACCACAGGTCAGTCAGCGTCACCTCAATTCCCAGAGAAATGATGGAACAGCTAATCCTGGAAACTATTTCCAGGCATACTGGAAAAGAAAATCATAAGGAGTAGTCAGCACAGATTCACCAAGGCAAAGTCACGTTTGACCGATTTGATAAACTTGTACAATGAAATGACTGGCCTGGTAGATGAGGGGACAACTGTGGATATTGTCTACCTGAACTTCAGCAAAGCCTCTGACATTGTGTCCCTAAGATCCTCACAGACAAGCTAGTGATTTGTGGGCTGGTCTAGCAGACAGGTGGACTGAAAACTTGATGAATGGCTGGGCCCAAAGGGTGGTGGTCAGTGGTGCAAAGTCCAGTTGGAGGCCAGGAGCTAGCACTGTACTGCAGCAGTCAATTCTGCATTTGATCATGTTCAGCATCTTCATTAATGACCTGGATAATGAGGCACAGACTTCTCTCACCAAGGCTGAAGATGACACAAAACTGGGTGGAGCAGCTGATACACCAGAGGATCATGCTGCCATCCAGAGGAACCCTGACTGCCTGGAGAAATGGGCTGACATGACCCTTCATGAAGTTCAAGAAGGAGAAGGGTAAAATTCTGCACCTGTGGAGGAACAATCCCAGCACCGGAACAGGCTGGGGGCTGCCCAGCTGGAAAACAGCTTTGCAGAAAGGGACTTGGGGGTCCTGGTGGGCACCAACTTTAACACGAGTCAGTGATGCGCCCTGCGACAAAGGCAGCTAACGGTGTCCTGGAGCACATCAGACAACGCATTGCCAGCAGCTCGAGGGCGGTGATCCTTCCCCTCTCCTCAGCACTACTGAGGCCACACCTGGAGTTCTGTGCCCAGTTCTGGGCTCCTCAGTGCAAGCAACATACAGACATACTGGAGAGAATCCAGCAAAGGGGTGCAAAGATGGTTAAGGGATTGGAGCATCTCATATAGAAGGAAAGGCTGAGAGAGCTGGAACTGCTCTAACTGGAGAAAAGAAGGTTCAGAGGGATCTTATCAATGTATATAAATTCCTGAAAGGGAGACAGATGCAAAGAAGACAGAGCCAGGCCCTTTTCAGTGGTGCCCTATGACAGGACCAGAGACAATTGGCACAAACTGAAACACAGGAGTTTCCCTCTGAACATCAGGAACCATTTTTTTTGTTCTGAGTGTGACTGAGCACTGGAACAGGTTGCCCTGAGAGGCTGTGGATTCTCCATCCCTGGAGACATTCAAAAGCCACCTGGATGTGGTCCTGGGCAACCAGCTCTAGGTGGCCCAGGCTGAGCAGGGATGTTGGACCAGATGACCTACAGAGGTCCCTTCCAACTTCAGTGTGATTCCAGAAGGGAAGAAAGAAATTCTTCGCATTCTGCGAACAAGTTTTCATACTGGTAATGACCCTAAGTAGCAATCACCTGACTGACTTTTTATTATCCTGTTGGAAGGTACTGGTTTTTTGCAGAGATAAAGAAGATCTTAAAGGAACAACGTCCAGACCAACATATCAGTTGATTATTAATGTAATCTGAATTACTCTGTTTGTACCAGGTTTAGGTGCACTAGTAAACTCAAGAAAATGGTAAAGTTTGCAGACATTTCAGCAGACTATATCCATTACCCTAGAGGCTGGACACATCTTCAGAAGTCAGTTCTCAATAAGCCTTATATATAACCCATCTCTGCATTTCTTTCGGTTATGCTGTTAAGTGATGGCCTGGGAATTTTGGCAGGGTGTATGACCGGAGTGAAAAGCTACTATCCCCATCACCCACATACACCTTTATGATATTTAGAAACAAATTTTACAGTCTTCCTAAGGAGGACTTTTGTTCTTCTGGGAATATAACGATGGAATTCAAAAGTGAGAAATGGGATGATGGAAGCATGCAAATAAAGAGAGGTGCTTCTACACCACCATGCAGTAGCGGTGGAAGGGGGGAAGTAATAGAAATTCAAATCCTCAAAAGCCCATCTCTTGGCAAGAGAGCTAGAAAACATGAACAAGCCAGGACTGAATTAATCACCCCATAACAATGTTTGGACAGTAAACCTGCCTCCTAAAAAATTTTTTGGTCATTCTTTTCTCGATACTGTGGCAGCCAAGGGAACGTTAGTCTAGTCTAACTTCTAGAACCTCTTGTTTGGAAGAAACTAAGAAGTTGTTCCTCTGCACCACGGACCGACTTTATTTGCTACATTAAGCATCACAGCACATACCACAGAGAGAAGCCTGAGGTCTGAAACAAGCTAGGATTACATTCCCTCAGGGTCAAGCAACCATGAACCAATGGTTTTACACATTTCCTCAGTGGTAAAAAGAAAAACTTTCAAGTTACACTAAATCATACGAGGTTAGCTAGCATTCTTTATGCACAAGAGAGTATTTGCAGACTGCCGCATACATTCAGCAAGTGGGGAAAATGAAGTGCTAGAAGTATTACAAGCCATTTGTGATGAATGACACATATTTTGATACGTTTAACTATCAACTAGTGGCACAAAACCAGACTGCCAAGTGAGAAGCGATGTAGATTGAAAAGCTCAACAAAGAGTGCATACAAAGCAGCTCCTTCACCTTCTGTCAGTACACTTCAGCACCAGCTGCTAACACCCCTGCTCAGCAGTCTGCACGTAAAGCTTAAGCGGTGAATGTGTCATGTTGTGCTGGGTTCAGCCA